TTTCTCTCTCTCTCTCTCTCTCTTTCTCTCTCTCTCTCTCTCTCTCTCTCTCTCTCTCTCTCTCTCTCTCTCTCTCTCAAGACGAATCCGACGAAAACGATAACTCAAGAACCACGAAATGTAGAAGACGCAGGACCTATCTATTTACAAAGCCCCGTTTAGCCATAAGCGAGATAGAGAATACTTCCGCGCAGGCCCAGCTGGAAAACAAAAGGAGCAGTGCGTTCGACCTCGACACCCCCGCCCTTCAGAAGGGAAAACCTCAACAAGCCACAAACCCGGAGGCCAAACATTTGTGAAGTCAGGATCCCGGCGGACTTTTCCCAATTGAGGCACCAAAAGAGTAACTGCGTTACGCAGCGGCCTTGGCAGTGCGGATCCCGGCGGACTAAAACCACGACTCATTCCGAAAAAGAAACACCATCCTTCCATTATGTGAGGGAACGCTTCAACAAAAACACACATATTTTTGTCTCGTACGCCCTGCACACGACCAGTGACCTGGCCGACTCACAGGATGGTCGTTCACATGTACTTGGAAGTTTGAAGGAGTGGTGGTTGTAGCATGCCGGCATCAGGAACTCCCCGCATCGACAGACACTGCAGTCACTTGCGCGTAGACAGAGTGGCGTTTGTCACTGCTTACCAGCTGGTTTCTCTCTCCGCTCCTTAATCGGCGAAGTTGGCGCGGGCAAGGCCAGCACGTCGAGAGCTCGAGTGCCGGCGGCAGTTTTTTTGGGGGATGTGACATCTTGTCGTCCCCCGATCCCGCCTTCTCCTCCGCTGGCGATGGTCGGCGGCAGCATCGGAGAGTTCGTCGGCGAGAAATCGACGACAGATCCCCCGGAAGGTTTGACGTCGAGAGGGTCGTCGACACCAGGCGTCGAGGAAGGCTGCGCGGACATGTGGTGGTCGCCCAGGATGCCGTCGATAACTTCTTCGATGTCAATACGCACACTCGGTTTAGTCAGGCTGACTGCTACACGAGCTTCGTTGAACCGGTGTTGGAGATCGACGCCAGACGTCATTGCTTCGACCTCATAATCATCACGTTCTGCCGAAAGGGTTGTGATCACCTGTGTCTCCATACCCAGCGCCGTGTCATCGTCGTCGTCGTCTTCCTCGCGGTGTTCTCCGTATAGCTGCCGGAATCCGTCAGACGACTCCCCAGATCTGTCATCGTCGTCGCCAAAAGTCCGTTCGCCGTCCCCTATATCGAGTTTACCTTTTTCCCCCTCCTGCCCTCCTAACAACCCAGCCAACTCCGTTTCTTCCCCTTCCTCTCCTTCATTCTCTTCTTCCTCCCCTTTATCCCCTCCTTCCTCCAATTCCTCCCCTGTGTCTCCTTCCTCCACTTCCTTCCCTTTGTCCATCACCCTGCCTTCTTCCCCTGCATGCAATGCAGCCACTTCGCCCGAACCCGTGTCGATTTCCGACGAATGCGCTTCCCGCCCGCCGCACGCAGCCCCTCCCGCCTGCACCAATATCCCTGGTTGGCCCCCCTTGCCTGAAGATGTTCGGATCCCGGCGAACTTCGCCATCTCCCTGTCGTCGGGCCCTCCACACGCCTTGCCTGAAGAAGTTCGGATCCCGGCGAACTTCGCCGTCTCCCTGTCGCCGGACCCTCCACACGCCTTGCCTTAAGAATTTCGGATCCCGGCGAACTTAGCGATCTCCCTGTCGCCGGGCCCTCCACACGCACCCTCTCGCTCCGACCGAAGCGGTTGGCGATCCCCCGCAGGCGTCGAAGTCCCGTCCCTCACCGCACCGCTGTCTATTTTGGGATGACGACTCGCCACCCCCGGTCCTGACCAGCTCTGCTCGTCCGTCCACTTTGTCCGCTCTACAAGCATTGAAGTTCGGATCCCGGCGGACTTGAACGTTTCGACCGAGCCGGCACGGAGAGCAACCAAGGCCGCCATCACCGAGCAGGCGGATGAACTGGGCACGTACGCCGACTGTGCCGAGCCTTCTGGACCGGGACCGGTAGACCGCTGACGCCCGAGGGCCTCGCCCGCCACCCCGCCGCTGCCTTCCGCTGTCGTGGTGTCGCCCTGAGACCCGCCCTCAGCCTCGTCACCCTCGTGTTGTCGCCCCGGGACTCGTTTGCCGCCCCCAGCGTCGTCGCCCTCGTTCTCCCCACCGTCCGGTCCCTGGGACCCTGTACTTACATGCGTCCCACTGGGAGGGGGGATTTTCCAGTCCACCCTTCCTTTCGAGGGGCTCGTGTCGAGGTCGTAGTAGTCCTCCGTCAGCTCCAACCAGCACTTGTCCTGAAGTTCGGCGAACAATCGCCCGACTGTGGAAATGATGGACACGTCTTCGGGTGCGAAAGAGTCATTCTCGGCCCTCACTTTCTGGAGGACCGCAATTCTAGCGATGTCGAGGAAGTCAGACTTCGACCCGTGAGGGAGTGGCATCCATCCTCCGTCCGGGACAGCGACCGCCACGATCCACTCACCCTTTTGGATCGCCAGCTGGATGACTCCTGGATGCCAAATCATGTCATGGCCCCAGTCCACCTCCGTGGAACGACTTTGAGGCTCTGGCAGGAAGTGAATGTTGGCATTCGTCCAAGACAAATGATCGGGCGGGATGTCAGACCGGGACACAGTGAGCGATGGCCGCAGGCCAGAGCTTGCATTCTTTGCAGCAACTTCATCGGGGTAGTGCCAGGCGCCGGTTTCGCCATCGGTGACACGAGGGACGCTGGGCTTGTCGACGGACCTGCCAAGTATAGCGTGCTGCGCGGAATGTTGGTCGTACTGCAGGTCGAAGCTTTCGGTGTCGCTGCCCTCCTCGTCCGCGGTCGCGTCAAACTCGATGCCGGTGGTCTCCTCGTCTTCCGTGGAGATCAAGGAGGAGTAGCTGCCGAACGTCTGCTCCTCCTCAGACTCCACGAAGTAAAGGGACTGCAACCTCTCGAGGAAGGTCTTCACGTTCATGCGGGAGGCGTTGTGGTAGTTGTCGAGCAACGTGAACATGTGGTCCTTGCGGCGCACGTACTCGACGTGAGTGTCTCTCTTCGGCCGCGTTTGCAGGAACAAGAAGTCGTATATCTTGTTCCGCTTCCTCGCACTCAACTTGAACCACATGTCCGTCTTGTTGTTCCACGCGCGAGCCCGAGTCTCGGTGATGACCATGAACTCGCAATTGTGGGCACCCGAATTGACCTCGCTTTTGACGAGATCAATTGTAAATTGCAAGAGCTCGGAGTTCCCTTCCATCGCGATGACGTGCCGTCCTGCCTTCAGTACTTCCCAGACTGATGGCGCGTGTGGCTTCCCGAGGAAGACGACACCCTCCTCCTTCTTGGTGACAGATTCAAGAAGCTGAACGAATTGTGCGGGGTTGCGTTCCATGTCCCCGTACACACTGCCCCGACATGCAGGCGAGGTATGCGACCAGTCGCAAGGGTTGAACGGGATGTCGGACACATCCGTTTGCGTAACCTTCCGTTGTACCCGCACTGCAGCAGCGGCGCCTGCCGGCAGTTTCCCCTCGTAGACGACGGACGTGTTGGCCCGCAAATCGTCGCCTTTGAAAAGTATGTACATCCGGTCGTCTTCCGTGTACAAATTGTTCCCCAGGGGGAAGCTTTTCTTCTGTTGACTCCTCCTCACCCACTTCCCTTCCAGCAGCTTGACGAAAGAAAGATGGTTCATGCTGGCTAGAAAGGAGAGGTTCTGCTGCCGCGGGACAAAAACAACGAGCGTCCAATGCAACGGACACCACGTCTGGAGTTGGGAATCCAGAGTGTCGAACGCTTGGGTTTCCAAAGCTTCAGGTCCACCGGTTCGCACAGATCGAGGACGAACGTGTGACTCTTTGTGGCAACCACTGCCTCCTTCACCTCCACATTCCTTATGTCTGCCTCCAAGGGGTCGTTGCCGAATGACGCGATGGATGTCACGTCGCCCGTGTCATTCCATTTTATGTGCACAATGCCTTCGGCGAGCGCGATCTCTCGACTCTCCAGTCTACTGCCAGTCAACACGGACAGGACCTTATTCCTCCAGTTGACGGACAACTTCTTGTGACCGGCCAGCTTCTCGGTCGCCTCGATCGATCTGTCGTCATCGCAGCCCATGTAGGGTGGGCAGTCCTTGAACAGCGAGGAGTCAGTGACGTATTTCGTGCTCCCGTCCCACAACTCAGCATCCAAACCACGACTCTCAAACTGTCTAAAAATTGCGGACCTCGATTTCAGGAACGGGAACCTTGAGCTCCAATCCACGTGCGACCTTTTATCGTGCTTGAACTGGTAGTAGTTCAACAGATGCACCAGCACCCGGTTGCAGTTCACCAAATTCACCACCTGCTGGACGCTCAGCTTTCTGAGCTTCGTCAACGCTGGGGAGCCGGCCTGTACCCAAACCACCTCGCAATCGAGCACCTTTTTCAGCATGCGACACTTCTCGTTGTCTGTCAGCGACTCCATCGTTTTCCAACAATGCGCGTCCGGCTCTGGTACTTGCACGAACCACTCGCCCTCCTGTTTCTCCTTTTTGCCTTTCTTTGTTGGCGGGTCCACAGGGACGTTGTATACGACCTCCTTCCTGCCCAGCTTGTCATTATGGATGTATGCAACCCCAGGCTTTACGTTTTTGACTTTCTTCTTCCGCATGATCCACTTAGCGCCGTCGTGTCCGAGCAATCTGCCTGTCTCCCATTTCTCGAAAAACTCGACAGCCAGTTTCTAGACGTTCTCCCCTGCCATCGCCAGCGGGAAATAGGAACGCAGGGCAGCGCCTTGTTTCCTGATGGCCTCCTCGCCCTGCTGATCTGCGAGAATCCACAAGTTGTTGTGCGGTGTCATGTTGAATGCGACATTACAGAATTCACGCCACTTCCGGACCTGATTCTGTTTTCCGTTGGGGTTCCCCATAACAGCACGCGGGCAACCGGCGCGCTTCCACTGCCACCTAATGTCCCTCATTGACAGCTTCAGCTGTCGTGGGGGCGCCTTCAGGTCCTTCTTGTTGTCCTGGGAACTGACAAGGAAGCACCCTTTGAAGTCGTCGTCCGAAAAGTAGACCATTCGTGCAGGCCACCGCTCGAAATTGTATTTCCTGGCCACCTCGCTGCCGAGCAGCGACCTCGCTGCAGCCGCGTTGTGCTGCCCACACACCGCCTAGTAGTAGTATTGTCCCGCCAACTCATCCCTCCAATCCTCCGGCCTCAGACGTTCTGCCTTGGTCCCCGGAGTCGGTTTATCAAGCCCCAGCGGCGCCAACTTCAGGGTTGGTAAATCGTAAGACTGCGCTTTGTTTTCGAACGCCAACGGCATCGCTTCTTTGATCCCTTCCACGAGCACGGGATCCAGGGACCTCTGGTTGTACAGGTCCTCCCAGTCCCCGAGGTCGACGACCTGCGCAGGGCTAATGTCGAACTCCCGCTTTGTCCGAACGCCGTCTTTGTACTCGAGGAAGTACCCGGCATCGACATCGATGGGAGTCCCTATTGTCGGTGGAGAAGACGGTCCAGACTCAGGCTGCTTCTGTCTCGAAGACGGTCATTTGGCAACCTGCCGGCCCTGCTCCCCCTCGGTCCCCTTGCGTTTCTCCCCCGCAGTCCTGGGGGCCTTGCTCTTTAACTTCTTCGTAGAACCGGCGAAATCGTCTGGACGATCCCCCCTCCTCTTTTGCGGAGCTCCTTGCGAGCCCAGGCCTCCCGCGTCCACCTCCTCCACACCCTGTCCCTCGCTCGCCTCCAAGTCGACCTCCGAATAGGCCGACACCTGTACTAAAGGCCCAATACTCTTCCGCTGAACCAGAGCATCAGTCTGAACCCCAGGAATAGACAACACAGACCGTCGTGTGTCACTCAACGGCGGAGCAGTCCCCTCATCCTCACTGTCGTCGAACTTACCTCAGCTCTCGCCACGGTGCAACTGAGTGGCGGGACCAGCACACCGATCACCGCCCTCCGCCGCTGCCCCGCTTGACTCGCAACCGCTGCACACCTTCAACGGCAACGACAGCTCCAAGGATGGGTTGGCGTCGCAGGGGACGTCTAGAGCGATGTTTTTGTCCTCCAACATGTCGAAAAATTCACGCGCCAAAACAAAACCGCCCCCGAGAACGAGTGCTCTGTAAAACGGGGTGTTCACAGCACCCGCTCCGAACCCCTCACACAATTCGAGGTCCAACAACGTCCCTTTCGAATTGGCAATGACGTTGCCCTTGGCGCCATAAACTTTTTGCATATAGAAATATCGCCGGCCCCCCTTTGCGTCCTCCCACCGCAAGATGACACCAAGCACTCTACGCCTTCTTCTGTCATCGATGAAGATGATAGGACCACATGGCTGCGCAGTGGGGTTGGAAGCGTCTCCACAGCACCAGTCGATGAACCATTTCGACCTCGAATGGTTCGACCACCCCTGCGTAGCAGTAGACGACCGCCTCGTGGAATCTTTTCGTGATTCCTTCCCGGAGGTCCCTGTTGGCTCCACCTCGCCCTTGGAAGAAGACATACTGTCTGYGAACGAYAACGCAAATCGAACWRCACACCATGAAGTCAAYGTCTGTCAAAACACARGAGAAACARAACACTCGCTGCCRCACGTCAACGCAGGCTGTAGYGCAGCCAAAGCCGCACACGAAGACACCCGGACACCCAAATCCGGAACGGTGAGAAGGGGTAGTCCGCCGGGATCCGAACTTCAAGTGGGCAAGAGACCGAGAGGCAGACAGAGAGAGAGAGAGAAGCAAGTGAAAACTCGCAGTGCGCATGGGATCACGCGCTGTTTATGCGGCACACTGGGCACCCCGAAGAACAAAGATAGACAAACACAGAGTGAAAATCGCGAAGTCCGCCGGGATCCGAAGTAAAGGACGGTGCGTGAGATAGAGACGACGGATTCAGATTTCGGGAATTTTTCGCAGGAATCAACTGGCGGTCATGTTTGAAACTCGCGCTCGACGGGGTAGTGTTCTCCGCGTGGCACTCGGAACCCCCGACAGTCCAACAGCCGAAGCTCGCCGGGATCCAAACTAGAACAGGGCGCGGGAGACATACAGAGAGCCGGCCATGCAGCCAGCGTCCCAGAACCGTGCTCGACCAAACGCACTCCGGAACCGTTGCCGGGCGGGTTGTGCGACCCACCTGGAACCACGAAGACTCAAGACAAAGCAACGCACCTCCCGAAACGTGAAGTTCGCCGGGATCCGAACTTCAGGACGATGCGACAGGGAGAAACGGCGTCAGGGACACACGATCCGCAAGTCTAAGGTTGTTAAACTCAACCCCGACCCAGGAAGGCCACACCGGAATGAAAGGCTGGTTGAAATGGAGAAGTCCGCCCTAATCCGAACTACTTCTGATTTCCGATCTCGCATTATGCACAGCTTGGCACTGGATGAACCCAAGCTCAAAAGCGGCATCCGTGTCAACATTTCATAGGTCCTTGGACTCTGGCTGTTGCCGCAATCCACGAGGGATCCGGAAGACCACCGTCTGTGGCAATAGACAGGCGACTCCTAAAGTTCGCCGAGATCCAAACTTCAGGAGGATGCGAGAAAGAGAGACAGAGAGAAACATTGGAGCAACTCCGAGTCCAAACGCAAGACGGGGTTCGACCAAGGCGCACGAGGAAAAACCCCGGGGTTCCACAGCCGACCGCAGGTTTTGATGGCAGCAGTCATTGAGTCCAGGCGTAATTGGTAGCAGGACCGTTTCCGACTCCGCCCAGCACTCGAAGCTCGGAGGCCGGTAGGACGCACAGGCCAAACCACGAAGTTCGCCGGGATCCGAACTTCAAGAGGGCACGACAGGGAAAGAGACGACGTGCACTAGCAACTGCTGTCTCCCACGCCTTTCTCCACTACTAAAACTCTGCTATGTTCGGCAACACACAAGCCTCTCACTCGTCTCCCTTCTTTTCGCTTAAGCAGGATGTCCAACCACACGTCCAAATCTTGTGACAATCGCGGTTCCCCGGGGACGAGGTCGCGAACCGTAGCCATACAAAGCATTCAATGACGATCCGTAAACGCGGACCAGCGGATCGTCGACCGTTGCAGTCTCTGAAAAGACGGGCATGTATTTCATCCTAACAAACACTCCCGGTCATGCTAAGGAGTTCCCTATACAGTCCCGTATGGCGGACACTTTCTCCTCGACCTCCCTATGCAACGAAAAGTTCTGGACCGGCCCTGCTGTCACCAAATCCAGCCATCCATCCACACGAACAGGCCCGCGCGTCGCCACGAGTCTGGACCCCTCAATTGCCATCTCGTTGCTTGACACAAGCACAACTGCATCGACGAGCTTCCTACTCTTGTTTGAAGTAGCGACACACAAAACCCTGGCGAAATCAGATCTGGACACAGTCAACCGCACACAACAATACGACACAGCTTGTGGAGAACTCCCGGGGCAACGGAGCGGGTACTGCTCCAGGAACGGGCAGTGTCGAGCGCAGGCCAGCAACTCGTGTTTCCCCGAGCCTCCCCAAGTTCGTGGCGACGACGTGACGTATTGGCACTCGAGGTGACTGAAATGCCGGCTAATGCAGCCTACTGCTCTGCGCATGTGGTTCAGGAACTTGTGACCGAGGACAGCGTCAGGCAGTGGGATGAGGGACCCAAACTCCAACATGTTGGCGAACTTGTACTGGCCTGCCCAAGGGCAGTCACTCTCCATCGTGGCCCAATTGCCGTCGCACCAACCGTCGATATGCCTGCCCATGCACGGGACGACGGTCATCCAGGGGTCCTCCTCGAATTCCTCTGCGGTCGATCCCTGGATCGTAGTCACACCATTGAAATGCTGCACGGATCTCACACAAGGAGGAAACGGTTCTGCCAAGAGAACGTGCGTCTCGGGACTCATGGTCTGTGGTGTCGAGAACATCGACTCCATGATCCGTGGTGTCGAGAAGGTTCCATCCATGACGCGCCCTACACACCACGCGCACATACCAAACGACACACACGGGGATGCTGACACTCGTAAACATAGTCGGCGAGCAATCAAACGACATAGTCCGCACGGATTGTTGTTGCACTGGCAGTCGACGTTAACAGGTCGCACTCGGAGAACCATCACGGTTCCCAAGACGGGCACAACGCGGAGTTCGGATCCCGGCGAGCTTATGTCGTTGCGAATAGTCGCCGGACGCCAGAAAGATCACAGGCAGAACTCGCGTCATGCGAAACCGCGAAGTTCGCCGGGATCCGAACTTGACGATTGTGCGAGGAGTTATGTCTGCCCTGAATGCACAAGGCGGCAGGTCCACCACGACGTGATCATTCGCCGTTGTCACGCTGTGCAGTTTTGCTTTTTGCGACCTCCGGTTGTTGAAGAAGTGCACATTCGAAAACCCGGTTCGGAATGCCGTGAAGTCCGAAATCGAGCAGACTTATTCTATTTTTTATAAAATTTAAATGATTTAATTATTTTTTGATTTGATTTTATTTGAATTATATAAAATTTATTGAGTAGAATTTTGAATTATTCGTGATTGTGTGCTTCTCACATCTACGGGGCAGCAGGCGAGTCGGTAACACGCCCCGCCAATGGCGGGAAAGCAATGTTTGCCGTGATTCGAACTTGGCGAATCTGCGTGGGAGAGACGAAGTTGTCTCTCCCACTCGATGTCCCAAACATGCTTCAACTTCGGATCCCGGCGAACTTCGGATTTTCACATATC